AGACTCGAGTCTCTCAATTTTTCAGTTTTATTCATTCAGTCTCTCTGTGAGAGACTCGAATCTCTGAATTAACAATTTTATCGTTCGAGTCTCTCATACAGAGACTGTAAGATATCAATAAAAACACCTAGGCAATAACTGAGAGACTGTGAGAGATGCTCTCAGAGACGCTGAAAGACTCTGGGAGACTGGAGAGAGACTGAAAATTTTTGTCTAGGGCTCTATTCAAACTTTAATGCAGTTAGGTATAATGTAGCTTTAATAGGATTAAATTAAGCTCCCTGACTATTTATTGAGCTAAAGTAGGTACATTGTGTTATACCTATAAATAGGTATGTATGTACATACGCCTACTGTATGTGTATACGTACATATGCATGTAGGTATGTATCAAAGTGATAGTTATTATAGAAAGTTTACTACTCGGTTAACTGACAAAACCGTTATCGTTGTTGTCACCGTTACAAATGTTGATTCATACGTAGGAACAGCGGTGCCTTGTGCTAACCCTTTGACAAAACTTTCTGTCCTCATATCAAACAGGCAGCGCTAGCGGAAGCAGAGTAGGTGGGTGCCTCCTCACTTTAAGCTCCCAAGTCGAGTGAGTTCTTCGACTGCCGCCTAATGCATTTCGTATAGCAGTTGTTTGCATCACAAGTGAAATCGCTGAAATCTCGCGATAGGAATTTCCATTAAAAGAACTTTAACCCCTTTATATACATGTATGTAGTACTTATACATACAAGGTGTTTCTGAAATAAGTAGCATGTTTTAGAGGGTGTTACCTGGATGCAATAGGGAATCGCTTAATGAGTAAAGCGGCGTGGTTAAGGGACAAAAAACATTAAACGAAAACTATACGAAGTTGCAATCCGAAGCCGGCCCTGGTCGTGAATTGGCAAATTGCTATAACAGCTAAGCAACTACATCGATGAAAAATGTAAACAGTGACGGTTGTGGAACAAGTAATGAAGTGGATATCAACAGCTTACTACTACGCTAGTACACATAATAATTTAAAGACGCCCATTACGATAATAATCAATTAATTAACTATTTTGTCATCGCTGATAATATGCATTACTATTTTTAAAGTACACCTCGACATGGTATTAAAAACGTAAAAGAAAGAAAAACCTAACTTTATGTAAACTTAAATAAGTAAATTAATATCTTTTGGATATAAGGTAATAGTAACTTTATAAAATTTCCAGACCATCATTGAGGTAATGTAAAAATAAAAAACTCATCAATAAACACATAGACCTCCTACGTACTCTACAAAAATTATTTTCGAGTCGCCCAAAACGTACGGCATTTAGCGTATATCATTTGCAGCGATCATACACGGTCATGTAAATCATTAGCGTTCTGTACTGGCGTTTGATACAAGTGCTGTTTTATACAATCCCATACAAAGAAGTCAAATGAATTTAGATCAAAACTACGCGCCGGCTAGTGTACAGGACCCATACGTCCATTTCAGCGTTTGGGATGCCTCTAAATAGCAGCCGATTGAATGCAGCGTTGCAGTGTCATATTTCCCTGTGTGATTCTACCAGGGCTGTACAGGCTTTTGCTTGTACTTTTGAATAGACTTTTGGACCACCAAACGTTTACTTAAAGTTCTTGTTTTATAGTGCCCTATGACCTCTTGCGAGCTTGCTACTTATTTCAGACACACCTGTAAAATAAATCATTCCCCTGATTATTTATTAAAAGACGAAGGTCAAAAATAGCTCGTGAAGTCGTTCAATAACTACAAAAAATAATTCAAACTTATAGGGGTGTAATTCGTTTCAATTTCTTCAAAAACTTTCTCATCATTTCTGAAATTTCTAGTTATATTTTGTAAAAGTTCTGTTTTATATTTACTTTTGGTGATGTAAGAATCTTACAAAAAAGGAAATGTAGGTTATATTAAAAGATGACTGATGGCGTTTGTACTAATTTCCCTATAGGTACCACGTCGTAGTTTTCAAAAGCGATGCCGCCCTTTTAATGACTGCATGTAACAAAATATCCCAATGTTCAGTCATCAACTCCACTGCTGTATGAAGATTTTAGTTAATATTTAATCAATATAGTAGAATGAAGATTCGGGCTATAGTGTGAGTGTTTGGACACAATAGTTCACTTAGACCACGGCCCTATAGCCCGAATCTTCATTCTACTATGTATTCCCGCTGTGAAAGTCTTTGTTCTTATATTTAATCAATATTTTTTTTGTAAACCATAAAGCAAAATAAAAACGAGTAGCTCTCTTGAAATGCATGACAAATTATCACAATCTCTTAAAGTTTTAGCGGGACCGGAAGGCCTAAAAAGCGAAACGACTTTAATAAAAAATAGCGGTGGTGGCTTGCGCTTGCATATAAAGACATTAAGATAATGATGATCGATCGTATACAGTTTCAAAGTTCCATACAAATTAATTGTGTCCTTTATTAAACAACTTGCCGCTTAAATTAATACGAAAGATTAACGACATCGGTATATAAATCTGTTCCGGTAACTTTTACGAGCGTGGGGTCGCGTCGTTCGGCGTGGATCGTTCAGAAAAAAGTAATAATTTCATAGTAGCGTCTCCGAAATAGATTATAAGAGGATTGCGGCTGAAATATCAAATAAATCTAATCGGCAAGGCCATAAAAACCTCGATGCTGCTTGTAATCGGCCCTTGTTTCGTAAAACCATAATAGCCCCAATTTGCTACTGTTACTGCGTACGGGAAATAAAAAAAACACCCTTTTACTGCTTCAGCTTACCATTGCACTACACCTAAGGGTTGTTTTATGACGTCAACATTGAAATAATTCTATTCAAATTTCATTATTTGACTATGTTTACGTTGTCGTAAAATGTATGCCTACAGGTAAGGAAAAAGGTTCATCGAACATACAAATTACCATTTTTTTGTCGAAAGTTTTATTAGCGAAAATGCATGTATTGACGAATGTATGGAATATACCTTTTAACCACATCTGTTTGAAAATATCACTTGCTTCTCTAAAAGTTGTCCTGAACTAGCTGAATTCTCCTCATTTCGCACTCTCACAAAGTCCTGCTCAAAACGTAGTTATACTGTTAAAAATCTTTTTCGAATCTCTTAATTAATTAAAAGAAGCATGCAGATACATAAAGCATAAAATTTTCGTTGTGGGTTTCCTATAATCTTTATCCAATCCGTTTTAGGGTTTCTTTTTTAATTTTTAGATAAAGTGGTTTCAGGGATAATGGGAGAATATTCCAATATTTTTCGAACTATCTTTTAATGTACGCTATTTAAAGTTAAAAGAAAACATATTTGCATTCTTTCAAGCTCCTACATTGCATAGTCTTTGAGGAAATCGGTCATAAGAAAAATTACGTTTTGGAATATTTAAGTTGTTTCAAATACATATCAAGATTTGTAAAAATATATGTATTTTATTGGCTGTAGTTCTTTCAAATTCAAATAGAAAGGAACTTGAACATCCCTGCTTTATTTGACAGTATAACAATGAAGCTTTTTGCACAAAATTTTCTTGAAAATACATGTCTTACTATGGTGCACGCTTCAGTTACGCACGCGTGAGCCATGTGGCCACTCGCTGTGAAAAATTTTATAACGAACGTATAACGAGGAAACAGTTAATTTAATATAATGTTACATTTGCCTGAATTCCGAATTGCTATTAAGTTTTAGAAATTAGAATTTAGAATATAGCCTGACTTTTATTATTTTGTGAATGACTTATGAAAGACTTGCTTTGATGATAAGTGTATTTCATACTATAATTTTTATTTTGGACAGCCCGATAATGTTTTCTAAAGAAATTGCTTTTATTATTAATAAATTCATTTATTTCCTTGAATTTTGGCGCCTGCTGATGTCAATTATTTTTGAATTAATTTTACGCACTACAGATAACCTCAAATTAAGAAGGAAAAATTGTTGCTTCTGTCATTCCCTTACCTAGAATAGAATTTGAATTCGAAATTTAACTCAAAAATACATTGAATTAGCAATACAAAAATTCAAAAGTATCGGGAAACTTAAAAGCATTTCTTTTAATTTCAGTTAATGTAGGTATCTTGTACAGAAAAGATGTTTCAATATACAGTAAAAGTTCCTTATTCATGGTTTCCTTATTCGCGAGTGAAAAAATTGCAACCCAGTTCTTATTTTCGCGGCTAAAAATTTCATTATTCGCGCTTGGAATCGATAAACAGAAAAGGATTCGGTGTCATTTGTTAAGAGTATTGACCGCAATAGACCGCTCGTGCCTAGTGTAAATTTTTCCGAAAATATGGGTTTCTATTCTAAACATTGCGATTTAACGCTGCGAGATAAATATCTGTTTTTTGTATGGTAATAGACAAAGGTTCACACTAACTCGGTAAGTTTTTGGTTTTCAATAATATGGTCATTAAAAGCCTTTACACGTGTTTAAACTTGGTGCTTCTTGTAGGACACGTATTTTCAATAGAAATTTAAAAAATTAAAAAATTACCTTCGACAGGCTTTATAACGAAGCTTTATCTATCTTACTACAGAATTTCAAACCTCTGTTCCAAACATTAAACTCATGATATCTAGAACCGATAAGCATGTTTTTACTCTACGGCGCGTGTACTACTGAATCTCCTCAATGTATCGGCATCTTTTGAGTATGTACTGTTGGTACGTGCCGAGGCAGCTTTTATAAAAGACATAACCAAGTGGACTAATTCAAAATTCAAAACAAAAAAAAATCGCTAAATTTTTTAAACCCAATTTTAACTGCGAATTTCTTAATAAATTGATTTTATTCTGATACATATGGGTTTTTTTTGGAACCTTAGAACGTATCCCCTATGATTCAATACTAATTACCATTCCATATCCACGGTTTCTGTATTCGCGGCATATTTACTTTTACTGTACTACAAAATAATAAAGAACTGCATGGTTTTTTAAATATCAGTTTCGAGCTATAAAAGATCTGTAAAGTGATTCGTAATATATCCTTATTATACCTACTGAAGTAATTTGCGATCCGTTACACTTGCACCCGCTTTACAATTCGAATTTTATTACCTCCATTGTTTTCACAAACAGTTTTATAAATAGGTAAACTTCGGCATTAGCCAAGTTCGAAAAACGATCAAGTTCTTTTCCGAAGTTCCGAATGGCTTGTTCGTTTTCCGTTTCGTCCACGTAAGCGGTTCGAAATTAGTCCTTCTACCTCGACGTTGGCTTTTGGTTGCGTTTTACAGCAGTTTTTCCTTCTATTTTACAGTTCCCTCGCCGAGCGACTGCCGTTTCCCATCATGGCTGGCGGGCTTGAATCACTGGCACTCTCTAGATTACTCCATTACCTACAGCTTTCATCATCGGAACTCAACACTTAAGATAACCAACTCGTCCGGATTCGAAATGCGCATAGTTTGCACCCAAATAAAACCGACGACCAGGGAAAACTCCGCCATGTTGCTGACACATTTTACCAGAGGATGGTAAGTGTACTTACTTAGTACTTATACATTCGTCGCTATTGTCGCGATAATTTTCGCATTAAGTCCTGGATTAAGGCGTTAGTTTTTTATACAGGATGACGCATTTTTTGTTGTATTAATCGTCCATGACATGCGTGCGACATTTAAGGGAAAGTACCCATACTACGTGGCCTGTCAGCAAAATAACCCGCTTGGTTACAGGGGCGGAGGAGGCTTAGGTTTTCGTCACGTATTAGTCAATATCCTCTAGGGAAATATCGCGCTACATTCAAAACTCTCTGTTTGGAAAAAATAATTTAAAACTATATTTATCAATTACTGCGTGAAAACTAGAGCGAGATAAGGGCCTTGGCATATACTACGGGTAGTCATCTGGGGGGGGGGGG